GAGAAAGAACGTACCTCGAGGGACTTGCCAAACACCTTGCTTGTGGACTGTGAACTCGTTCTCATGCACACGTACTTCCACAGTACCAGACTGTACGTTGAAGATCATGTGCATGTACCGTGAGTTCTTCGTGCGCTTCATCTGATCCGGACCGAGTTCGATGAGACCCCAGTTGAAGAAGTTGCCGATAGATCCAATCTTTGCGTATTTGAAGCCGCCATCTCCGACGGCTCTGGGCTCGACACCCCTTTCGTTCCATGCGATGGCTGTGATATGGTTAGTGACACTTGATCGTTCTTGAGGTTTGAGGCCACTTACTGTCTTCGATGATGTCGTTAGAGGGAACCTCACCAACAGTGTCGAAACCTCTAAAGTTGCCAACAAGAGTGCCTTGCTCTTCCCAGGGGTCGAGCTCGATTTCCTCTTCTTCGACAACAGTGAGCGCCCTCTTTTTGCTCTTGTAGCTGGACTTCTTGGTGGGTCTCCTCTCTTCCTCTACTGCTTGACTCTTCACAATCGACGACATGCTGCCGTCGGGGTCGTAGGAGATGTGGTCGTTCTTCCAGAAGTCGATGGGCGCAACGCGATGTCTGCCTGTCCGTCCTATGCGAGCGACATTGTCGGGATCCATCTCGCGGAATACGGAAAGATGTCGTCCCCGTCCGAAGCGTGAGCCAGCTGATGTCGCAGATATTTGATCGATATCCTTTCTGCTGAGAGGATTTCCGTACGCATCTACCAGCTTACCGGCCTCCTCACTCTCCGCCTGTGGAGTCTTGGATTTCGATACTCCATTGGACCTTGGCTCTGCACTTGCCGATTTCGCTTTGGACTCTGCGTTTGCTTTCGGTCTGCCTACAGGTTTCGCGGGCTTTGTGAATTCTGCATTGGGCTTCGCTGGTTTGGCTGATGCTGATGCCGATGCTGAAGATGTTGCTTTGTCGCCATTTGGCTGCGCTTTAGGTGGCCGTCCGCGCTTCTTTTGTGCAGGCGCTTCCTCGACTTGTTCCGACTGATCTACTGGGTCGTCGGCCGGCGCTTCAACGATACTGTCGTCCTGTTCCCCATTTGGCTGCGCTTTCGCGGGTCGGCCGCGCTTCTTCGGTGCAGGCGCTTCCTCGACCTGTTCTGATTGATCTACTGAGTCGTCGACCGGCGCTTCAACGATGCTGTTCTCTTGCTCGCTAACCGGTTGCACCTTGGGTGGCCGTCCTCGTCGTTTCGGCGCAACGGGTACTTCCTCAACCTGCTCAGATTGATCGATCGACTCATCCACGGGCGCGTCCAGTTCGCTGACGTCGGATACACGTTGTGAGCGTCGGCGCTCAGCAGGCGCAGTCTTCTTGCTCTTCTGTGACTCCGAAGCTTGCGCTGCGGTAGGGCGGCCCCGTTTGCGCGGCTTCTCTGCTGGTTCCTGCTCCCCTTCTGAAACCTCCACAACATCGCTCTTTCGTTTCCTACCCCTCTTGGCCTTCTCTTTTGGTGGTTCTGGAACAATTTCAGACTCCTCTTCACGATCCAGCTCCTCAAGGTACTCAACAACCTGGTCATCGGCCATGCTCTCATCGCCGCCGATTTGCGCAACGAAACTCTCCTCAGCGGTTATTCCCAATTCGTTGGCTGTGATTTCTTCCTGCACAATGCTCTCTTCAAATATCGCACTCTCTGCCGGGCCCGGCGATTCTTCTTCCGGTATATCGTACACGTCTGATCGCTTTCCTCGTCGCGCGCCTGAGCCGCTCAGGGCTGGCGTCTCTTGTAGGCTTGATTCGTCCTGTTCGAAGTCGAGGCGTCGCGCAATCGGCTGTGCGGAGTCGCGGATTGGGCTGGATGGGGGAGGAGAGCTTCCCCTCGGGGCCATAGAGGATTGCCGTCGCGGCGAGGATCCGAGGTTGGTCTTCTTGGGTGATCGCGATCGGGGTGGAGGGAGGAGCGTTCGGTTGTTGCGCAAGATCTGGTGGGATGTGGTGAGTTCTGGCATTGAACCTGTCGGGCCTGTTAGTGAGGTCCCTAGCGAATGCGTCGACATCTGCGCACTCTCTTGTATTTCCATCGAGCCTGATCCTGTCGCATCATTCCCTTGTTTGGGTGGGGACCTCTCTGGCGACGAGAAGATGCCGGAAATCGGTTCGAGGCCATGTTCGTCATACACGCCTTTGTCTGCGAGTGTGATGCCAGTCTTCCTGCGCAATGTTAGTTATTGTTTACGCGCATGCATTGGAGCGTCTCTCTGCCTACCTTCCCTGCACGCCAACGTTGTAGTAATTGTTTTCGCGCGCTTCGCGTTTCTTTGTGGGCGCCATCTTCAGAGTCGTGTCCGCAAGGAATGAATGCGCGTGTGGGTGCGGGTGACGCGTCGGTGGTGTCGCGGTTGGATCGCGAGGGCGCTGTCGATAAGTTGTTTGGGTTTAGGCGGGATGTAAACTAACCGTTAACGGCGGGAAGGCACAGGGTCTTGGCGCCTTCCCCTCCAACTCCAACCCGCCCATCGCCATCACACAGGCCATCACGAGATGTAGTACAACGTCTATATCCACTTCTTAGTCTAATGCAATCTGCTTCTTGTAACTTTGACTTGTCACTATCAGGAGTTCAGTTGCCAAGTGTGACATCACGGAGCCACCCAAGAGTACATGCATGGCAGCATCCCACCCACCGTGACAAACTAGTTTAGCGCACATCCATCACGGTGCATGAAAACGGCGCAGTATAAGTTGAGGAGCCCACCCAATCGTGGGGACTTTTCCGGTTTCTTCATTCAACCTCAGCCGGCTCTCAGTTGCTAATTCGCATCCCAGACACCAGTCATCCGCCAAAACGAGAGAACACCTCGCTCTCCTACAGCCACAGTCGTCGTGCAGACCACGCACTGCTTCATTCATTGCTCGCATCAAGCATCCGCTCTCCCATCCACCCACATTGTATCTCCCACCAAACGCTCTTCCTGGATCAAGACTTTTTCCCATAACCAACTCTCTTGACGTACAGCCAAAACAGGAAAAGGCCGTCCAATCATGCCCGGGCGACGATGTGCTTTTCGTGAAGCGTCGAAAAACGGCAGCGAGCCGCTGAATGAAAATATACAAGAAAAGAAATCGTAAGCATGTCGATGATTCGTCACATCGTGGGCGCAATCTCCAACGTCGCTCATACTATCAGAGCGACTTGGAAGTTCGAAACTCGTTCCAGATCAAAACATCGACGGCATCTGGAACACCCTACTGGGGGCAGGCGCTCTGGACGTGGCCGGGCTGCTTGCAGCGGTAGCACACGCGCTCAGATGAAGTCTCCTGGGGGCAGTCGCGCGACAGATGGCCAACCTCGCCGCCTACAAAAGGTTAGTCATGCTCTTCCAAGTTCATCGCTGTGTACTTACAGTTGTAGCACTTCTGTCCCTGGGTGCAGTCACGGCTCATGTGACCGAAACCACCGCACGAATAACACGTGGTTTGGCGAGCACCTCCGTAGCCACCGGCACCACCGCCGTAGCCTCCACGACCGCCGCCGTAGCCGCCAGCAGCACCGCCGTAGCCACCGCCCTGGGAGCAGTTGCGGGCAATGTGACCGACCTGGCCGCACTTGTAGCACTCTTGGCTGGGGGCGCCACGGCCACCCATCTGGGCACCGCCGTCCTTGGTGCACTCGCGCGAGATGTGGCCGGTACCACCGCAGCGGTAGCAGGTCTTCTCAGCCTGGGGAGAGGTGCACTCGCGGCTCACGTGGCCCTTCTCGCCGCAGTTGTAGCAGGTTGGGGTACCCTTGGTGGGGCACTCGGCAGCGCGGTGAGAGGAGTCTCCGCCTGGACATGGTCAGCGCGTGTTCAAAGATGCAGTTCCGAGTCAGGCATGGTGGTCTCCGCGCTTGAATACCGATCTGGACCTGTCGCTGGACCCTGAGGCGTGACGCTCTCGCGATCTGATATACAAAGCGGGGCCGCATTCGGACCGTGTCACCGCATCGTGGGTATAGAGTCAACTTACAGTTGTAGCAGCCACGGCCACCGGCAGCGGGAGCAGGTGCTTGGTAATCCATTTTGTAGAGTTGGAAGACTGGTGAGTGTTAGCTGTAGTCCGCACGCGCCATGCCGTGATGTTGGGCTTTGTTCTTACCGAAGTATCGAAAGGGTAAGGGAGTGACGTTAGAAGATGATTGTCTTCTAAGAAGGTATTGAAATAGTCGTTCAAAAGTCGCACACCACCAATTGTTTGATTATCGGAAGCTGAGGGGTTGGATCGTTGGAGAGAGAGAGCGAGGGGCACAAAGTCGACTGCTGAAAATATCTGTTCGGGCTGGGTTGTGCTTGCCGCTAGTCTAAGCGAAATACGGTCTAGCTTCACCGTTCATTCTTGCCTTCAAGGTGGGTCTGGTGTTTGCGCGAAATCAGGGACGGCGTCGCTGTGGTTTGTGTTCCTGTAAGGGTCCGGAACAATAGGGCTTTGATTTCACGCACATTGCAGATACGCGCGTGATTGGAACTGCTGTTCATGGTACCTAAGTCGGCTTCGACGTCATTGGAAGGGGAAGCATCGCTTGACAGGCCTCGTGCAGATCTCGGGATGCATATGCAGCTAACCTGGCGTGGAAAGATTGAGTAACCGAACGATCGCACACGTGGCTGCATGTAATATTGATGCCGAGGCACGAACAGGTGGTCAGCGGGAGATCTAGAGATCTGGTATCGGTAGACAATGGGGAGTTGGGACGTCCTGGGAAGTGCTCTCTGCCGACTTCAATGCCAACCAGCGTACACATCAAATGCACCCACGCATGCAGCACCACCGTTGAACAGCACTCGCAAAGTGATTTTCGTGTTCCTAAGGTAGACCCTGAAATCTCGGAAAGATATTTCGATGTTCTAGACCCGTGCAAAAAGTTGGCCGGTGTCGTGGCGCCCCCACATCCGGCCAAAAAAAAGCTTTCATCCCATGTCCACCACCCCCCTCCCAAAGCTTCACCACCACAACCACGACCCATCCTATACCTCAGGGAGCGCAAAAAGCTGGACTTGCAGGGAATCGAACCCTGGACCACTCCCACAGTTGGACTTGCTTGAAGTCCTGCTGCTAAGGGAGTATTATACCACTAAACCACAAGCCCGGTTTTGGCGATTTTATGCGATTTTAACACAAACCACAAGCTCCTTGATGGATCGACGACAAAATCGTTCGTAGATATTGCAAGGCTATGCAGAAACGGAGCAGGTTATCAGGCTCATTTTGGTAAGTCAGGAGGTCTAGTAAGATTTGGGGATAGGGTCAGACATCGCGAAGGGGTATTCACGAACAAGACCCACTTCCAAGGAGATTACCCCTCCGCTTCGCCTCAAGAAAAGCCTCGTTGCGTATCTTTCTATAATTCAGAATCCTACGTGTCCGTAATTCTTATTTGCAGAGGACATATCAGTCCCTCAGTTCACTTCCAACGACGCAGACACGGCCACCTCCCTATGGAAGAACTTAACCTCGTACCTTTAGATAATGCAGAAGCCTGCAATTTTCTTTGATAGATCGAGATGAGGTCTTGAAGGATCGATAAGATGTTGCGATAACTATGGAACATATGAGCAAGTGGGTATCGTCGAAAAGATGCCCAAGCCTGGCATATCCCTCTACTAGTATCGAAAAGATCGTAAGAATTTGCATCTAACGACTACAATAACCTTGTTACTTTTGGCCGTGATGGGATTGCGGATGCAGGCGTATACAAGCTCGTGCCTCCTGTACAAACTAAGTGGCATGTTCAGAGTTAAAGTACGCATATTAGTAAGACTTTTACGGGTTGAATGGTACTACGAGTGTTGAAGTGTACATCGTCTTCTATCGTGCGGATTTCTCGAGGATAGATACCGCGAACACCTCTACGGCAGGTTATACGGAATTCTATCCAGGTAAAGGCAAAGCGATTCTAGGCAGTGTGATCCTGGAGAGTGTAAAAGTGGTATGAAGATGTCTTGTGCGGGATGTAAGCAGCGTCAAAGACTTTCAACTACCCGTGCTAGATGCGTGATAGCAGAAGACAATGTGAAGTAGAAGGCCGCCTTCAACACCTTTGCTAAGAAGTGTCAGGCTATGCGCTCGGATATTCCTAAGTAGCGCAGGAGTTGACTGCAGGAGGATTTCCGCTAGACTTGCATGTCAGTAATAGCATAGAAGTAGGCCGCACTCAAGAGACTCGAGAAGACAGTCGTGCAATGCAAGTAGAGCTCACATCTGTAAGTAAACTACAGGCTTAAACGGCGCCGGAACGATTGCAGTTCAAGATACCTGTGGCAACTCGTTCTAATACTAGAACATGTCTAACAGTAAGACGGTAAAGGTACAATGGTTTATCAAAAGCTAGCGAGTGTTTTGTAGTATAGTAACGGCGCGGATGCTTAGAAAACCAGCACATCGCCTGGTCATGATAAAGACAGGCAAAGAAAAGGCCGTGCTAAGCTTCTTCGTATCAATCAGCGTGCTATACCGCTAGGCTTCAGCACGAGGAGAATATGTTGCCTATGTCTTATTAGACATGATCTAGGACGTTTAACTATGCTTGAGCATGCGATATTGCTTTGCATTAGTATACACGCTACATTGCTCTACCTTCGCACGGAGAATGTATACTATGCGTTTATGAGAAGACCGACTAATAGACACGGCTCTACCTACGCTCCATGTTCATAGCACGGGAAGCGCGCTATGCCTTATCGTTCTAGCGCGGAAAAGACTTGCACACGAGTATATGAAGAACGAAGACAAGCAATTCCGAGAGGCTAATGATGCAGATTACGAGTTGGACTAGCTTAGAAGTAGAACCTTATGTTCCTCGCTGCCTCCAGAGCAAGTAGAACAATAATGCAGCATCAATCCATTTGTCTATGTAGCTGTGTCACGCTGTCTTGTTCCAGCGCTAAACCTTGCAGACCTTGGATATACACAAAACATATACAGATAGAGAAGATAGATTTGTTAAGAGATATACTTACTGCACGAGTATGCCAACGCGCCCAGTTGAATGATTTCAGCGCGAAGTATAGCAACAGCCTGGCAGGGTATGGGAAGAGTTCGCAGATCAGCACGACGTCTTGGTTATGCAGACAAATCGGGGCGCCGAACGTGGTAACTTCAGCACAGGAACATGCGAACTGTGTCAATGTGGATGAAGAGAGAGAAGACAGCAGCAAGTGGCAGAGTATGGTGAACGATATCGTAAATGCACTGCGCTCGTTGTCATGATATGACCGAGCAGTAAGGTCGTTGCATTCGCGGACACCACATGGTATCACATATGGCCATATGATCTTCATCACACGCACTACTGACTATAAGAACACTCTCACAAGTTCTCAAAATCCGAGTCCTCATCGTCATAGTTTCCTCCCGCCTCCTCCTCCTCTTCAACCAAAGCTCCTCTCGGTGATGATGCTCAAGGTGAACCAGCCACTTAGCTGCGGTCTTGTACGACCGGTCTGGGCACAAGGGACATGTCGCGCTCCCAGTGCATCTGGCAATCTTCAACTCGTTGGACTCCCTTATAAGGTGCTCGCTGCGCGTGTGCACATTTCCCTTCATGTGTTTCTCGAGTTGCGCACAGTTCCTTTCCTTGTCTTTGGTGGCCTGCGACATCGTTTGATCGAACTGGCAGAGCCAACATTCCAGCTCAGAGATGGCTTGACTTGTATGTGCGACGAATGCACTGAGGGATGCTACGCGTTCTTCTTATGTAGCCGCATCGCATTCCCCGACCCCATCAGGAATGTTCACTTAAACGTCCTCTTAGGGGGCAATCTTGCCAATGCAACGACTCATCCGGTGGATGTTGCTTGTCGTTGTTTTCCTCGAGCGAATCCATGTTCAGACCCTCTTCCTGATCAACATCCGGCTCGATTATCTCATCCTGTTCGTTGCGCCGCTTCAAGGCCTCGATAGCGCTCATGCGCTCACCGTAGAGACCCTCCAGCTCGGTCTGGGCATCTTTAGCCTGTTTGCGGATCGATTTTGGCGCGCCACCTTTACCGGCGGTTAGTCCCGTAGTCGTTGATTTTGTCAAAGCTTTCAGCAAAGATCGCATCTCTTGGGCAAACTCTTCCACTATAATGTTCCGTATACTCTTGCGGATTTTCTTGAGTACCATCTTCCGCTTGAAGAAGACAGCCTCAAGCTCCTTATGGACAACCCCAGCTGCAGAGTTTCCATTCCTCAACGTGACCTTGTAAGCGCTAGTGACACTGCCGGTGTAGTCTCACGGTCTGGGTGCACCGTCGGCGCTGTTCCGCATCAGAAACTCGAGCGTGTAATCGATCGTTGTCTTGAAGGATCGGACTATCTCGACCAACTCGGAGTCTTCTCGCTAGCGTTCGCGCAACGCTCTTCGACCTCAGCGCGAAGCATGATCTCGTAGTTCTCATGCTGTACGTATCCTGTCTGAGGTGCCTGCTTAAACATCTTCCTTGTGTCTTGCCAGCCCATCTGCAAACAGCAGAAGCCAGTATACTTCTCAAGCTCGTGTCGCATGTGCAGAGCCTTGACTCCGCCTCTCTTTGCCTAGTATGTAGGACTGAATATCGATGACACCGACGCCGCCCGTATCGTAGTATTCGTGGGCGTTCGAGTCGTCGGCATGTGCTGCGGTTGATCGCGCCGCCGCCTCTCCGTGTTCATGTTTGGTTCGATGATACGTGTTCGACGAAAGCAATACATTGTATTGTGTTATGGAAGGCCGGAGTCGATATAAGTCTCGCGCAGGCGAGGATTCAGCGCACTAGACTTCATCGGCTCCCCAGGCGTAAGAATGCCGTGACTGCCAGCTGGCGGGAATACTGCTTAGTTCAAAACAGCGGGATCAGTCTTGAGTCAGACATCGTCCGTGCGAAGAACATTAGAAGCTCATTACATCGTGAGATAACTGGGTAGCATAGCTGCCTTCGCAACATTATCAGGTGCTGGAAGTTTCTTACTAAGGTAGCTAGGAGGTCGTCAGCTATAAACAAAGCAACGCGGCTCTTCCCTCAACATCTGTGTAGTTGGCAGGCTAGTCTTGCGATAGTAAAATCATCGACGTCAGCGTTAGATGTAGTCAACACAGTGCTCTACTGAAGTGGTTTTGTAGATGATGGGAGATGATGTAGTCAGCAGGAGGGTTCAAGAACGGCAATCTTGTCGGATGCAACGTCGATGTAGCAGCCTGCCAATTGTATTTTTTAGCATCCTTCCAAGATGGAGCATCACTCCGCAGACCCCTGACTAAAATACAGCGCGTTAAGCTAACGAAGTCCTTGACATATCTCGCGACACCTGGGCATTCATCCCAACTTTGGCGCCGTCTGACCACTCACCCTCCCGGTTCTTGTCTTGCTTTTACACATCGCCCATGGCATTCAATCCGTCGTTTGGAAATGATACGGGGACGTCCTAGGGTGAAGGCTCATTGTGTGCCGACGGGAAGCTCACTTGGCGCCGGAGTGGGGCTTCCTCGATAATGCTGAGATCCATGCTGCTGTCCACCAGTACATCTCTGGCAGCGTCCTTCCAATTGTCACCGATCTTCTCGAACCACGATCTATCGCCAGGTAGATCGTACGCCTGCGCAACGATGGTCTCGTCGATGCCGAATTCTTCAAGGTTCGCGCCGGTAGCTGCCAGTGTGACGCCTTTCAAGTTCTTGATGCAGTCGTCCTTGTACAAATTGAGGATAGTCTGTGCCTCTTGTGGTGTGAAGGATCCTGGTGCTTTCCCTGTGTACTGAGTCTGTGTTTGCGGGTCAGTCCAAATGAATGGTTGACAGATCCTTCCTGCAATCGCCTTCGATGCTTCGAACGCTGCTTCGGAGTTCCACAGTAACTTCTGCGCTCCGTTGGCGAGAGATTGGCGCGAGTCGACTACTTGGCGGCGTGCGTCCTTCTCGTTGCTGTCTTGGTCGACAAGGGCGGAGATGTGTTCATGTCTGAGTGCCATATATGTCTCGGCCAGCCTGTCGTATTCTTTCGCCATCTGTTCTGCTGTCCAGGACTTCAGGTGGGATTCCGTAAAGTTCATGTCCTGGGGATCGTATGATTGCATTGCGACTGGGTACTTGATATCGATTCCGTGTTTCACCTACGAAGTCGGTAAATGTTTACGAATATTGCGCCAGAACTTACCTCTGCTTCATGCCTCTTGTTTCCTCTGTCCGCGTTCTCGGGTGTGGGGTAAGCTGCGGATGGTGTAAGGGCTGTCGCTTGCGCTACTCCAAGGGGAGCAGGCGCGGTAGGCTTTGTGGGCTCAATCGCGATGCTCTGCTCAACAGGAGTGTTTGACGGGAGGCTGGTATCAATAGATGCCGTAGGTGCGCCATGTCTGGGTGTGGAAGGCGCGTAGTCATCAATGGAATGTGGTGAGCTTGTTGTCGGTGTTGGAGATGGCGCGCTGACTTGCGCGCCATTTCCGGCCATGGCGGCGTCTGGGGAGATCGTCACCGCTTGCGATAGGAATTGTCTGGTGTTCTAGATTGCTGAAGCAGTTTCGCTTGGGCAGCGGTATTGCAATACTAGTCAGAGGTTGTGCATATGATGCCCGGGTGGTGCAGAAGAGGAAGTTGGAAGTAGTGGGTTGAAGGAGTGATGGAGGAGATGTGCGAGAATTACTGTATTTGTATGCGTTGCTTGATGCTGTTGCAGGTTGCAGGTGAGAGAGCTCCGGTATCGCGGTGCAGCCCGGCACGTGGCGGTGGAGTGCGGGCTATCACGTGCGGGCACTTGCAAGATAGCCTCCACGTCCACGTACCTGTATGAGGTCTGCTAGTCTTATCATGTTCTTCACATCTGCATATGTTCCCCCGATGGTGTATGTGGTGATGAAAACTAAGTCACTTACCCAGGTATCTACTAGGAAACGCTGTCGCCCTCTTAAACCCGCGCGGCTTATTGCTTGCACCGAAAACTTCATACCCATATGGAACTGCTTCATACCAATCTTTTTCCAAGAATATAATATGGCCACTCTCCTCTTCACAGTATCTTGGTAGCAAATCCAGGTTCACATTCCTGACATGTAATCGGGGTTCCCGTGTTTGATCCTGGTGCGCCATTGACAAACTTCCCGACGCTGGTACAGAGACACATTCGTATGAAGTTTGTTGCCTGCAGTGTTTAGAGACTTCCTTCGATCTGCACCGCGCCGATGCATCACGTAATGGCAGGGGTCCTTGCCAGTGTTGTATCACCGATGGAGGGGATTTTGCGCTCTCTCTTGTTGCGCCACATGTGGACCGTAAGGCGCTGGTACAATCAGACCCCACTACATTGAATCCGATTCCTGTAGTACAAAGAGACATCCTGCGGTATATCCCGCGCCAATCCATTCTGTTGCGCTGGTTGACTTTCCAGTTTCGGCACGGCTGTCCCTGGCGAGGATGAATGTTAGATGGCAGCAGTGCTTACTCTTTAATAGTGTACGATTGCGATGCCTTCCATGGTTGCTTCCGTGAGCTTTACTGTAGTGATCCGCCAAAGGCCCTGACCCAAGTAGTCCTAGGTACCTCTCATGTCTCCGCACCGATACCTACCAGCTATGGCGCTACTCGCGTCCACTCTACTGCTCTGGCCACGCCCGCGTGGTAAGCTGCCCCTAGGAACATGGTAACGATCTTGCGACGTTCTGTACGTGTGGACAAACCAGGTGACAGGGCAGTACCTAGGTGTTGAATGGGGAGTTTGGCCGTATCGGCGGTTGCGGCAGTAGTAGTAGCAGACAGAGCCTGTAAAAGATCGGTCGTGATCCTCAAAGCTGCTGTGTCGCGAATGTTGGTTTCGATCAGTGCTGTAACGCCATCGCGACCTTGCTATTGTTGGTGGTGGATCCACTCGGTAGACGGCGAAAGCTATCTGATTCAACGAGCCGGCAGCGTCTCTTCCCTAACCTATGTGTTGATGAAAAGCTCGGATTCCTCCTCTGTAACCACTTCAGATATAAGCACGATACTTCGCAACAGCTAGACGCAGCCGGCGCTGAACGAGTGCTGCCAGACGCGATCGCACGCTGCATCAATGTAATCGACCCGATACGACGAACAGCGATGCTGAGAGGCCATGCTGCTCGTGCGATAGCGGAGGTGGCCGAGAATGGAGTGTTTTACTTTTGGAATCTATGAATACTATTGCTTCTAATGCGAGCAGAGCATTGTGATCTCATGTATTATCGGATACAGCATCAGACGACGAATTCGAGATTTACCTGTGGATGGCTCGATCGGAGGTGCAAAATGCGAGCAAAGTGACAATAGGATTGGCTGAGTTCCGTGTCACATTTTGGTTTGCTGCATACGCACTATTGAACGTGAGCAAGTGAGTTCCTCTGGCGATAATGTATGCCTCAATCTTGATGAATGTTTGGCAGAATGCGATGCGAATTGCAGCCTCCCCTGGTCTCAGCTGGTGCAGCGTGGAGAGTCGAGATTGCTCCGTCGTAGTAGTGATCGCATTGGGCCGATGTCAATGGGCTTGCCAAGTATTCATTCCAGGCGTCGATTGTTCAAATCATGTATTGTTGAGAATGCAAGACCGCGCCGTTGTCTTGGTGTATTGGCGCGTCCTGATTACTATCGTTCATCGATACCGAACGAGCCGCTCGAACGACATGAAGAGACTGCTGCGGATCCGGGGAAAGTGAGTCTTCGCGGGGTAGACTGTCGCGGGGTATCGTCCGATTTACGTTCATGGTGTATTTTGATATCGAACTTAGGAATCGGACTGGGTTAGGTTTTCGAGATGGCGTTGCGTGTCTGTCGAGACGGTGTCCAAGGTATGCTACAGTGCCGTCACCTGCGGAGCCCAGGGCAAGATACACCCCGCGAGTTAAATTACAAACGATAGGAGATAGATGAAACGTCTGTAGCAGACCGAAGTACCTATTCCTTTGAATCCTCACCTGTCATGCGTCTTTGAAGTGGGCATGATTATTCACGTATGTAATGATGCTTCGAAAGGTATCCCTACCTAGGTAGAGTAAGTAAGATTACGTGGCCCTCAGAGGATTGTTCTGGAGTGCGTCTGTGGTAAACCAAGCTCCGATAAAACCGTCAGACGACGCGCTGTAGCAGCCAATCGTTGAAGACGTAGAAAAACGCGCTCTCCGTGCGATATTGGCGGGTACGAAACGTGGAGGAAGGCGTGGGTAACGTGAACACGCGAGGCTGTCTGTGTCAACGTCCTTGCTAGTGAGCACAGTGTCGCGGCAGCCCCGAAGCTTAACGAGAACAATGGCTTTTGTCGATAATCCGGAAGCGAAGGAAGGAAGTCACATCATTTCCACAAGATGAGAGTGCGAGATTGGTTCAGCTGCACCTGACATTCTCGGCTATCGTTTCGTTATCGCGTAATGACATCAGAGCTATCCGTGGATACCTTGCGCAACATCGCTAGGTAACCACCTTTATCGCCGCGCAATACGGTAAATACGACAGAGTTCATTCCGCGACAAACTTCAGGAAACGAACCGTTGGCCCCTCGCCTAAAGCTGCACGCCTATTCTTTTAGCTTTTGCCTTTCCGCCAGACGCCTTGGAGAGCTGTGGCAACTCAGTTACTGATCAGTAGCGCTGGGTAAACCGCGGGAACTCTGCATCAGTTCATCCGAACCCAACACCGTGTTTCGAGACAACGGCGCCGAAGTATTGACCGCTGCAGATGTGCCCAGAGAAAATTATCGCACCGAGGCCGCACATGTCAGCATCACGGCGTCGATCTAAATTCGCTCAGGAAATTCGGAGTGGAGAACCACGTTGCATCCAGAGACTTCAGAAGGGCTACACGTGCGATCAAGGCCATCCACGTACCAGCTGTCTCTTGTCAGGCAACCCGCCGGCTTATTTAAAGAGTCTGGAGTAGAGCGACGGAATCTGAGCCGTCCCCAAAGGCCAGGACCACGGATCTATCTACGCGAAATCTCGGGCGCTAACGTGATCTACACGCCCGATTTGGCAACGACCCAGGGGTATGTCTTGGCTTATGACCGCCACAAAGCCTCCGAGGCGAAGACAGCACCTGCATGCTCCCTCGCGACATTGTGCCATATGCGCGTTGTGAGCTGGAATTATGTCCGGATTCCGAGAAAGGCAGAAGCCGTGGAAGCCCGCATGCGCTTGGGTGTCTGTCGTAGACTTGATCAAAGGCCTCATCTCACTCATCTTCCTCCACAGCACACTCCCTGTCAAGACTTACATTATTAACTCTCCGCTAGCGGGCTACCTCCTGTATCGCAGTCTCAGTGTCAGCCTCGACCAAATCTGACACGCGCGGCGGCTGACCCGTCCCATAGCCAAGCACACTACACGCTCCACGGGCGTCGTGGGCATCTTTTTCTAATGTCTGGGCATGCGGTAGTTAGTTCGCCTCTTATATGGAATTCGCACCCACATCCCTTTGTTACTTCTCTTGGTCTATCTTTTTTTTCCTTGCTCACTTTGTGAAAAGGTCAAAAGGCGTCTGTTCACTCTTTACAGTGTCGTCTTTACCTTTTGTTCGGACTTAATATCGGTCGATCTTTTGATCTTACACTCGTTTATTCTTCGATTATATTTTTGACAGACTCATAGTCACGTTATCATAATGCGCTACACTGGACTATACGCTGCGGCTCTGGTCGCACCCCTCGTGGCTGCTCACAGCGACTTCCCTGTACCGAAGATTGTTGGTCTAGGACCCCGAGAGATTGGTCAACTCAGGAGCAGGAACATTCTTGGTGGACATGCGGCGCACGTTGCAGGGCCCAATCTACGTTTGACAGCACGTCAAGGTGGCATTGATGGTCGGTGCGGACCGAATAACAGCGGTGCGAGCTGTGCCGAGGGCTACTGCTGCTCTGTGGAGGGCTACTGTGGTCAGGGAGGTAAGGTATTCGGGTACAGCTTGAGAGACCAATGCTAATTTTCATAGGTGACTACTGTGAAGCACCCGACTGTCAGTTCCAGTACGGCCCTGCCTGTGATGCCAACAAACTCCCTACTGGAGGCAGCACTCGCAACATTGCTCGTCCCAAGCTCGGCAACCAGCCATACGGTGGAGAGGGCATCTACGATTGCACTGAGCCAAACACGGTTGCCATCACATACGATGATGGCCCATACATCTACACTGAAGGTGTGTTGGATCAGTTCAAAGCTGCCGGAGCAAAGGCCACTTTCTTCGTCACCGGTGTCAACATCAACAAGGGCGCAATTGACGACACAAGCAAGCCGTGGGCTGCTACCATCAAGCGCATGATCGCCGAGGGACATCAAGTTGCCAGTCACACATGGTCGCATCAAGATCTTAGTGCCATCACCAGTCAACAGCGATACGACCAGATGGTCAGGAACGAGGTACAATATTATAATCTGAACCATCTATGAGAAGTACTAATCAAGTCTGTAGATGGCCTTCGCCAACATCATGGGCAAATTCCCCACATACATGCGCCCGCCATACTCCTCTTGCACCGCAGCCTCAGGATGCCAAAAGGACCTCGCTGATCTAGGATACGTCGTGTCCTACTTCGACCTCGACACCGACGACTACAACAACGTAACTCCAGACAAGATCCAAAACGCCAAGGACAACGTCAAGAAGGCCATCGACCCCAGTAACCCCCAGACGGACGCTTTCCAGGCCATTGCACACGATATTCACGAGCAGACCGCTAAAAACCTGACTGGCTACATGATTGAAACCATGAAGGCAAAGGGATACAAGCTGGTTACTTTGGGCGAGTGCTTGGGCGAGCCTCAGACCAACTGGTACCGAGACGCTTCTTCTGGTCGCGTAGCCACCACGTCTGTCTTCACCCCTCCTGTTGCGGGTCCTACATCATCTGGAAGCGTTAGTTCCGCCGCACCTGCTGCCACTCCTACGGGCGTTTCCACGGATGCCACCTGCGGAGGTACATCTGGCTTCACCTGCCTTGGTACGACCTCTTAATTTGGACATACAATCTCCCCCAACTGACATCCACGCAGGCTTCGCCCAAGGCGAATGCTGCTCCCGCTACGGCTTCTGTGGAAACACCGACGGTCACTGCGGAGTAGGCTGCCAGGCCGGTTTCGGAAAATGCGGTAACAATGGCACTGCCCCGTCGTCTGGAAGTGGCAGTGCTTCTCAGCCAGCCGCTACTGGTGCTTCTTCATCTGCGTCTGCTCCTACATCTGCTCCCAGCGGTCTTGTTACTACGACTGATGGCTCCTGCGGAGGTACATCTGGTTTCACGTGCGTTGGTTTCGCAGACGGCGAGTGCTGCTCTCAGTACGGCTTCTGCGGTAAGACGACTGACTACTGTGGAACGGGCTGCAACCCGCTCTTCGGAAACTGCGCTGGGTCTTCTGGGTCCCCGGCACCTTCGAGCGCTGCTCCTTCCACAGCGGCTCCTTCGACCGCCGCACCTACTACCGTATCCACATCTACCCGTCCCGTCGTCACAAGCACCAGCACCAGCACTCGCGCGACTACCACCAGTACACGCACTTCCACTGCCCCGGCTGCTACTTCCTCCCCCGCGGGCCTCAAGGTGAGCAAGAACCGCTTGTGTGGTGCGCGCACCCAGCAGACGTGCAAAGGCTCTGCTTATGGTAACTGCTGCAGCCCCGCTGGCATTTGCGGAAACAGCCTGCTGTCCTGCATGAAGATGTTTGGATGCCAGCCTGGGTTTGGTGACTGCCGGTAGAAGATGTGTTTGGTGGATGTTGTTGTTCAATTCTTATGTATTCTAGTTTTGGGGATTGGGGATTAGATGGATGGGGGAGGTGCATAGCTGAGATTTTCGTACAAAATGCATCGTTGGCTATCATATCTTGTATACAAATGTTTCATCACCTCATACACAAAAAAACACTAAACAGGTTTGCAGACTACATTAAGACAACAACCTGCAAAGTGCATAACCTAACGGCAACGTAGGCTCCACGGTGTTTAATGTTTTCCTACATTTGCTTGATATAATAGTTCAAATTGCGGACTAAGACCGATGGGATAATATGCAGGGTATGGGAGGGCAAAAGTAAAGGTCAACTGGTGGTAAAAGAAATGAAGTTTGGCATGTGCCAATTCGCGTTGGACCTGCATCGCTCTTTCCAGTCCAGTCTGCACGCATTGCAGTCAATGCGGAACTTCATGCGATATCGACGTGAGTGATCCATCGACGCCAGGTAATAGATGTGACGATTGATGTGACTCGACGATGAGCTGTCAGTTATGGATGATGATGTGGTGAGTGCAGGCCAAGTGAGTGGCGCCGTCTCCACAAGTTCCCAATACGCTAGCCTAGCTCGTCTGCGGCGCCAGCGATATCACGTCGAGCTGTCGCCCTTCCTCTTGCATCGCCAATTGACCTCTGCGCATCACCGCAGCCCGTCACCACTCTCCCCCGTCTGCTCGTCAGCGTTCTCTTCGTCTTTTCTCTGCTTGTCACCGGCAGCTTCGCGCTTTCCTCACCTGGGCTTCGGCCGCGCACTCGAATTTTGGGTCCTGAGTAAAGTACGTCGGTTTGTCCATGGCGTCACTGTGCTGGCCATCGCGGCGGTGACAGCGCGCCCATACCCACTCTCATTTATTAACGCCGCCCAGATCTGCCCTAGTCTCCTTCACCATGTCGGACCTGCAGGAGCTGCTTGCCCGTCTCAACGGCGGCGCATCTGGCAACCAGCAACAACCACACGGCTACCAGCACCCGTCTGTCTCGTCGCCTCTCTTCTCCCCCCAGCCCGGCGGCCCGCAGCCTCATCACCAGTCTGCCGTCATGTCGCCCAACTCGTCCATGGCCAACACGCCCGCGCCCGAGCCCGTGTCGCAGCCCACGCCGCAGCAGCAGTCGACCAACCTGCTTAACCTCCTCCGCTTCAACTCGCAGGGCGGCGGCCCGTCTCGACGCGTCTCGCAGCAGTCGCAGGCGCCCGACATTGCGACCAGCATGGCCAGTGTCATGGGCAGTAGGACGCCCTCTCACAGCGCCGCCGCCCCCGCGCAGTCGCCTGCCGCCGCCCAGCAGAACCCCCAGGACCTGCTCCTGCGCCTGCTGAACCACCCCAAGCCTGCCCAGACCAGCGGCCGCTCTTCTCGCGCTGCCTCCGTGCTCTCTCCGCGTGCGTCCAACAAGCCTGAAACGGTTGTGGACGACCTCGCGCAGGACCTCGCAGACGCCGAGCTCGAGCACGTCTCGTCTGACCCCACTGTACACACCCCGGGAGCCTCTTCCCCCATGAGGATGTTCGGCTCCGACAGCAAGGAGCAGTCGTCTCGCTTCCAGCCCGACGCCGCCTCGCTTGCCCCCAAATTCACCTACGTCAACCCCTTCGACCAGCTCGAAGCTGCCAGCCCCCGCAAGCACACCCCGATCCAGCAGGGCTCCAAGCCTCCTGCCCCCAAGATGGAGATCCTCAAGAAGAGGGCAGTCGATGCCTCTTCGCCCGCTCCCCAAGACGACGCTCCTGCCCATACACACGAAACTGTGGCCGAGGCCGTGAGCGACCTGGGCGAGCAGGTCGGTCAGCAGATCGAGGACGCCCTCGCCGAAGCTGAAGCCGAAGCCTCTGCTCTCCCCCAACCTGAGGAGCTTGCAGAGGTCCAGGAGGTCATGGCTGAGATTGCAACCGAAATCAAGGACGAGTTTGCCGACCCAAGCACAGCCAAGGACATCGAGGCCAGCTTGCCCAAGCCCATCGCAGCCGCCTTGAAGGAAGTTGCTACCGAGATCGCGCAAGACAATGTCGCGGAAGACTGGGAGACCGCCGAAGCCGAGGAGAGCCTCGCAAAGGGTGAGGACCAGACGGTAATAGTCTACAGGTTCCCCATGCGCGCCTTTGCCTCCATCCAGGTCAACCAGATGCCGCCTCGTCGTCTCTACTTCGCCAACGAGCTCTTTATGGATATTGCTCGCTTGAAGAAGGACTTTGACCAGATCGACCGCTCCCTGGTTTCCGCCAGCAAGAACTTCATCGTATACGCACTCGTCAAGAAGGGCGGCTTCCGCATCATCCGCCAGGAGAACGGTCAATACCGTCAGGTCTTCGAGAACCACCAAGAGCGCATCTTCAACATCGCCCTGTGCACCTCCGCAGACGACTCACAACAACCGCTCGAGAGCATCCTGGGTATTGGTGTCAACGGCACTGTCTTCTGGACTTCTCTCGACCCTGCTCGCGAGGACCAGTTCGGCGAGAACCTCGACTCTCAGGGTTTGATGCTTCCCCCGTCGCCATCTCAAGATGATAACACATCTGGAGGCCAGCTCAAGACTCGCGCGAAACCATCTTCGCGTCACCCAGAGTTCTTTGCTGTTGGCAGGGGCAAGTCCATCCACATCGTCTTCCCCAAGGTCGCCGCTGAGTATGCTCGGTCTAAGAGCCGCATCTGCCACACGGAAAAGTACCTCAAGGAGCGCTCCCTCAAGATCCTCACTGGCAAGGCTGGTAAGGACTTCACTTTCAGCGAGGACGACACCATCATCGTCTCACTCGACAAGGCCGGCCGCATGCGCTTCTGGGACATCCGTACCCTCACCGAGCCAGACCTGGGCAACCCTCACAGCCCTCCCCGCCAGGTCGAGGTCTCTGAGACTCTGCTTGAGTTCCACACGACCACACCCAATGCCAAGTCGTGGCCCACTTCCGTCTTCTTCTTTGACAAAGACAAGCCATATACTAAGGGTATTGCGCTGCGTTATGTCATGGTCGGCATGAAGCAGAACCACGCCTTCCAGCTGTGGGACCTGGGTCTCAACAAGGCCGTGCAGGAGATTCACCTGCCTCACGAGAACGAATCGGACGCCATCTGCAGCGTATCGTTCCATCCCCGCACTGGCATCATGGCTGTCGCCCACCCTACTAGGAACTCGATCTTCTTCGTCCACGTCTCCTGCCCGAGGTACAACCTTCCTGCTCTTAGCCAGGCTGCCTACATCTCCCGTCTGGCAAACAAGGGCGACAGGGGCCAGAACAATTTGCCTCCAGTCAATGCTACTGCCATCATGACTAGCATCACGGAGTACTCTTTCGCCTCCAAGGGACAGATTAGGAGCCTGCACATGCTCAACGAGCCCGCTGGACCTTCTGATGTCGACGACCCTGACAACGCCGCTCTCTTTGAGCTGTACGTCATGCACTCCAAGGGTGTCTGCGTCTTGCGCATCCGCCGAAGCGATCTTGGCTGGAAGAAGGAGGGCGAGCCCATTCACCCCAAGGAAGCCGAGGAAGAGGGCGTCATCACAATCTCGCAGCTCAAGCCACCTCAACCTGTCACCGATGAGTCATCTACTGCTGGTGACACTCCTGCGCCCAAGTCTGTCTCTGACCGATCTGCGCGTGAGCCATTGAAGAGGGAGAGCAGCACCGCGTCCAAGCAGTCCATCAACCCCGAAGCAGCGATGCGCGCATCTACTCTCGCTAAGGTCGAGAGCAAGCAAGACGCAGCTCGCGCAGCTATCATTCACGGTGGTGACAAGTCAGAAAAGAAGAAGAAGAAGCGCGCGGCCGCCACAGAGACATCTTCCCAAGTCTCTACAGCGCCTTCAGCTGTGGCTTCCACTGCCCCTTCCGCTCGCATGCCTGCACCTGCACCCGCGGCTCTGCCCCCGTCTTACGCGCAAGCTGCTCAAGCGACTGCGCAGTCCAAGTCTCCGGCACCACCTGAGCCATCCGTTGCGCAGGAGCCTGCCAAGTCCAAGGCTGCTGACACCACCGAAGCGCCGGAGTGGGCCAAGCAGCTCATCAGCAAGCACCTCCAACGCCCAAGTGCCGCACCTACCGCTGCTCATCCCGCAGAGGTTGATGCCAAGAAGCTTGAGGAGGTCGTACAGGCTGAGATTACCAAGGGCTTCTCTCGCGAGCTGGACATCATGTACAAGCGCTTCGACGAGGACAAGCGCGTTATGAACGCAGCCAACGGTGCCCATCAGCAGGCTATCCTGCGCCAGGTGTCTAGCACACTCAACGAGAACGTCGAGGGCGTTATTGGCAAGATGGTCAGTGACAACATTAGGAACGTCGTGCTTCCTGAGGTACTGGCAAAAACTACTGCCACCGTCGAGCAGGGTCTGAGTGCCAACCTCAAGCCCATCCTGGCCCAGCAGTTGTCCAAGGAAGTTCCTGATGCTGTGTCTCGATCCCTGAAGCAGCCCCAGATGTTCCAGTCGCTCTCTGACCAGGTCGCGAAGAAGATTGGTGGTAACTTTGAGCCTATGATTGCTGCCTCAGTTGCTACCGTCGTCAACCCCGCCATGTCGAACTTGACCAACATGATCGAGCGTCAGATCGGTGGTGAGCTCCGACAAGCCCATGCTCAACGCCGTGAAGATGCTATCAAGATCTCCGCGTTAACCGAGACTGTGCAGACATGCCTAGAGACTATTCAGACTATGGCTGCCAATCAGATTGAACTTCAATCCCAGGTCGCAAAGCTTCTCGAGGCTCGCCAGGCTCCAGCTCCTCGACATGTACAAGACTCGCCTGCTGCTCCACGTACCCCTCCCAAGAAGTCACAGGAGGAGCTTGAGATCGAGTCTATCCATCGTCTCATGTCCGAAGGCAACTACGAGATGGGTACCATGCAGTGGTTGCAGTCGCCTCGCAGCGCCGCGCTCTTCGACTCTGTCTTCGTCCGCTACGATCCTGCCTACCTCAGCCAGGTGAGCCCGCTGCTCGCGCTGTCGACTGGTGCGGTCGTATCTGAGCA